GTATTTTTAATAAATTTTAAGAAATAGATTAAGATTGGTTGGTTGATTATTAGTGGATTAAGGAAAGAAAAGGCTAAACCTAAGAAGACATGTCGCTAAGTTTAGTTTTAATGTCTCTATCTTATAAGGAGCATGCATCCTAAGTCTATATTTTCTAAGACTCGGTCCTTAATTTTTGTCCTTAGGTGTCACTAAAGTTGTGGGAATAAAATGAGTTCTGTTTTCTAACCCTTAGGACTCTCGTACATGTGTCACTAAACTTAAGAATCTATAGCAAAGCAGTAGAAAGAAAAAAGAATGAAAATCAGAAATAAAAGGGATGTAGGCATTGTTGTTATTGGGCACACTTCTGTGAAGTCAAGTGTACCCTAAAGCAACATTAACAATGCCATTTGATGTTCCCACAATCCAAATGAGGCACTTGATACAAACCCGACTCTACTACCCGACCTATTCCCTACCAAACTTAAGGCAAACAAGGGAAGCTCAAGTTCCAAAAAGAAAACAAACTAGACCTGAAGCATTACCTCTTTCTACCCATCACATTCTTCCAAATTTATATTTTAAAGGAGAATCATTAATAAAAGATAGACAACTTATGTAAGGTAGACTACCCCATCCCAAAAAGAGAGATTAAGAGAACTCTCCAACACAAATCTATTCTACAAAAGTTGCTAAACCCAAGTCTAACTCATGAAATTTTTTTATTTTGTTTGAATGAAAAGCTACATGAAATTCTACACAAATCATTTATCAAAATCTCTTCTTTCTTTTCTTTTGTTTTGACACAAAACTCTACAAAAATCACCTATGAAAATCCCTTCTTTTGACACAAAATCCTACAAAACAAATAATAATCAAGTGCCTTTTTCTTCATTTGGAGTGGGGTAAATTTGTGAAAATTTCCCAAAGGGATGGACATTATAAAGCCCTCCTTCAGGAAACCCTCACAAAACAAAATAAAACAATGAAAATCCCAACACAAGACGATTCACAAAAAAAAACTCATGTAAAAACTTTTCGACATAAAATTACTAACAAAATCTCAAAACCGTAGCATAAAACCATTTACAAATCTTTCCAATCATGAATCCAATCACAAGTCTCCTCAATATTAAACAAAACCATAAAACTCCTCAATGTAAAACAAGCTATAAAACTTCTCCAATGTGAGGCAACATAGCATTTGAATCTACCAGAAAACAAACACACATTTAAAGCTCGCAAAAGCCTTCTAAGACTTCTACAAAGATGCTACACAAGAGACATCGATGCATAAAGTTAAACCTTGCAAAGATTTCAAACTCGTCTTCAAATAATTCAAAATACTTGATAACAACTTCTATGTAAATTCTATAGATTTCCACAATTTAATTTCACAGTATGAATGAAGAAACCACATGTATTTAAATTTTTTTTCTATCCAAAGGAATTCAATGCCACTTGCTCTTTCTAAGGTCTCAAGAGAAGCATCCCCACTACTAGTCACTTAAATGCCAAAACATGAATATTTTCACATATTTTATAATTATACACCATTAGGACATCAACTTACCTCAATGCTTTTGTAAATCATCTGACAAATAAAGAAGCTCAAGCATGAATCCACATGACAATCTCTCTAAATTGGCAAGGAAATAGACAATGGCTTGGGCATACCAATAACTTGTACTCACTATTATTCTAGAGATACTCAAAGCATCATATTGGCAGTGAAGTAAGGATGTGAGCACAAGGATTTAAACATATCAAGCCAAACCATTTTGTATTCAAACAATTTAGTGTCAAAACTTGAAACAACATAAAGCAAGATAGCAGTTGGACCTACAAGGAGGTAGACTCACATTTGAAACAGGTAAATTCTCTAACATTTTCCCAAAACATGTTTTATGAGAAAGCTTATGAATGCTTACAAGTAAAAAGAAAGAAAGAAGGACATATGATTGTTCCTTCGACCACTATTCCAAAGTATCTTATAAGAAGAAAATTAGTGACAAAATTGCCTCGTTCGCTTTCAAGAAAAACCCTTATAACAGAACCAAGCATAAAGCTAAAACATCAATATTCATGCCAA